TTTCCGAAAAAAAATTTTTTTTTAAAAAACTAAAATTGAATAATTGTCGTGTTAAATTTCCCATTTGTTTTGGGGAATCGCCAAACCAAAAAAAAAAAAAAAAAAAAAAAAAAAAAAAAAGTACTGGTATACGTATTGTGATACAACCTTTATTTTTTTAGGAGTTAATATTACACATCAATTGATAACGATAATTAATCACGCAATATATATATCCCTGGTTAGATAACCATTTTAGCAGCATATTGCGTATTACGTTAAGCCAAAAAAGTTAATTATATTAATGCATAAATAATCATTATATATATATATATATATATATATATAATATGTAATAAGAAATTTAAAACAGTAAAACGTACATATTGTATAGTTATTAACCAATGTCTTTTATTCCAGCATCGTGAATTTCATGAAGCCCCTTTAACTGTAGTAGGAGGCACTCCATACTGTTGGGGACGCGTCTTTTATAGCAGAGGTCTTTTTCGAATTTTAACAGCTGCCCTACCTTGTTTGGTACGTCGAAAGTGCATCTGGGTACGTCAAGTAAAGCCCGAGTTTGTATAAGGAGAGCATCTTCCGGCATTGCAAAAGTCTCCAATTATATAATATAATTGGAAATTTACTTTGTATTCGATTCGCAGGAAAATGCTTTCCTTATGCAAACCCAGGTTATACTTGACGTACCCCGACGCACTTTCGACGCACTAGGCAGCTGTTAAAAATCGAAAAAAACCTCTGCTGTCTTTTATAAGATTTTTTCGATAGATATATAACTCTTGAACGAATTCAATTTATGAATTCACACGTTTTAAAAATTAATACAATTATCTGTGAATATCAAAGAAATATTTAAAGGTTTAATACCAAAACCAAGTCTTATTGTTAATTTATCTGTTTAATTGACTTATTAATGCCGGACTGAATTTTCGTCATTGTTATAATACAGTTAGGCAAATCAGATCAATTATCGTTCATGAAAAGTGGAACTAAATGTACAGTGCTGTTAAGTAGCTACACATGTCAATATTCTCATCTCAATTCTCATTCATATTCTAGGCAGATATGCCAATTGAAGAGGTACTATAAAATATTGATATATGTTAGGTCTTAATTCCAAGTGAATTTTAATGGGAATATATCTTACGAATTAGGCAACAGACTAATTTTTCGTATTATATATTTTTGATCGTTCATCAACAAATGAACGTGTCTTTTATATTATAGGAATAAGTTTCATTTTTATTAAATAGTACCAGTTTAACACATTAAATTTAGCTATTATTTTTGAAGGTTTATTTATTATTTTTTTTTGCATAGCTATAACCTATACTTCCATAAACCATTTTACAAAGTTCACCTATAGCAAACGCACATTCAATTGGCGAATATTAAATGTTATTCATGTAATGGATATTTTAACACGACATTCATGCAATGTAAGTTCTTAAAAAAAAAAAATGTTTTTCGCGTAATAAATCTTTTTTAAATAATTTGCAAAAAAAAAGTCATTCATGTAAAAAAACATTTAAGTCGAACTTTTTTTTATGAATTGTTAGACGAACTTTTTAAAAATTCATTGCGTGAACAATATTTACAGTATATATTCTACTAGCAAATTAGGCGAATTATATAAAGTGAAGCTTAATAATTAAAATTTACATAGAACAATAACTTTTCATTTAATAGACTGTTACTTATAACTGATAATAATGTAATAAATAACAAATTATAGAGTCCTCTAGGTCTGTCACTATCGAGATTTTGTACAAATTCTAACGCGTATTTAAAGCTAAAGACAATTTTTATTGAAATTTAATATTATTTATGGGTGAAATAACAATTAAAATTCGTGGTAATAATAGATGGACTTATCTGACGAGAATACCAGAATAAAAAAAGAAATAGTGGATATATCCTGATCGTAAAATTCAAATTGACGCGTCAGAATATGATTCATAGCGATTTAGATTTATATTTATATGCTGTAATATAATTGTTTACCAATACTAAAGTTTTAACTGTTGAATTAACAAAAATTTTAATTCTATTGTTATAACGATAAAAAAAATTGACATTTATAACTGTAAAGCACTGTACAGTAAATGTATCGATTTCAGTCACGCATTTACAGTGGCATGCCAACTTCCTACGAGGATCCGTAAGAAGATCTCGCGCGAAATAATTTTTCAATTAAGAAAATTTTATCGAAATTTTAGTTTATATTCTAAATAAATTATGACACGAGCGAATTCTAACGATATAATATCGCGCAAAATATAAAACATGTACATTTCTAATCCGGTCCTTCATTAACAGTACGCAATTATTCACATCAAAACTTAATGCAAATCATTTACAATAATCTATTTAATTATAAATACATATACATTCAAATTTTCATAAATATATTTAACATGATGAAATTAGCTGTAAAAAGCTATCTATGCAATTAATCAAAAAATGTCTATTCTGAAAAGAATAGATGAACTGTGATTCAAATAAGTATAACATTTAAGAAAAAAATTGGTATAATATCCCAAAATCATCTCTGTGTGAATATAACCAAACATGCTTGTTATTTTCTATAGTTCGTAGTTTTTTGAGATGGTTTTGTATATTGCTTAAATATTCTTTCTGTTGGGGAGAAGCCATATCAAGTACTACCAAAGCAAAACAAAAGGAAATTATTAAAGCAAAGATATATATCTTGAAAAGAATTAATTAATTAAAACTTACTTTTACTTTTAAATGACTCATCGTCTAGTACATCACAATCTGGAATTTTGCGCAGTAAATCACGACTCACATCCATTGCTACTACAGAAACGCTACCATCGTTAATATGTTTTATCATTCCAGAAATGTTATCATGTGCTAGATAAAATGATAATAAATGTTAGTTGAGGTAAAAAAAAAAAATGCAGATAAATAAAATATAGCAATGATAGAATATTATAAACCTTTGTCAATAAGCAATTGCTTCTGCTTGTGTTTCACTTTTTTATTGCCTTTATTTATTGCGGAAGGTACAAAAGTCTTAATGGATAGTTTTGATCGATTATTACCTGCTTCTAATGACATTGGCGGGCTGACATTGCTGAAATCATGCATCACTGTTTGAACAAAATTGATCAGTTAAGATAAAATAATAAAGTAAGACTGAATCAAAAGAATTTTCAACATACGATCTGTCTGTGCTATCGGATGATGTTTGTGGAATTTGGATCCTGAAGCATACAAATCAATTCTCAATTGTTCTTGGATTTCACTATTTAATTTCACATAAAGTTCACTACGGGGAACTATCAAACATTAAAATAAATTAATTTCAAAATTATGAATCGTAAAAAATTTAATATTTATATGTCGGTTACCTTCTTCTTCAGTTTTCATTATCAAATTCTTTACTTTGACAATGGTAACAGCATCTCTCGAAGTGTATAAATCTTGATTTTTATGTCTCATTATCACTATCCAATTTATCCCTTTATCTTTGCATAAAGCAGCTAGAATTTCGGGTGTATGATCTGTTGGTTCTTCATACATGAAGTCAGCTTTAATGTTATGTGCCCACAATTCACGAACAAGATCCAAGCGTTCCTGCAACATAATTTTACCGAAGCTTGCAACGTATACGTCACACTGTATTTAATAACAATGCATGACATAAGTATATTTATAGTTTTAATATCAGTACCGGTAAATAATTATTATATATACCTTTTTTGGTTTCCAGAATCCAAAACTCCTTTCTTCTTCAAGCTTCTTCTTTTGAATTATTTTTTGATAATTTTCCAAAGCGATGACTATTTTTTGTATGGCTATATTAACTCCAACTGCGAAAATTTGTTGTCGAGCAACAGACACACCACTTGCAATAGGAAATCGAAATTTTTGTATTAATGAATCATATCTTCCGCCAGCAGCTATCACATCTTTTCGGCTACTGTCAACAGTTTGAAAAATCATTCCATTCTTGTTATGATGATTATAATATCTAAAATATAAACGTATATTAGAACATTTCAATTGAAAATAGATACATACTTTAAGAGTTCTTACGTTAACAATGGTACAAATATAATATTATGACGAACTTCAAGACATTGCGTGTATGTCAACAAAAGAGTGAAATCGTTAATTGCTTCATGTATTCGCCTACGCATATTAGCTGTTGGAATCAACTTATCCAAAGTGGTTGAAATATAGTCCAGATCCCCTAAAACCATATCATGAGAAATTTTTAAATAAACCATAATATGAGTTTACAGATGTATTCGTTAAAAGATTACCTCTAATATCAAAAAGAACCAATTCATCCAGCACACTCCTTGGCAAGTTATACTTTTCCATAAGTTGTGTTTTGATTTGATTCATTGTATACTTTTTGTCAAGCTGACTAAGCAAACTATATACACCACGTCGAATCTCCACAGGTATTCTACACCATTCAAAAATTGTTTCTATAATGTTTGTATGGTTTACAAAAAAACAATAATTGTTTGTTTTTAATGGTGGAAACTCTTCGAGAACTTCATCAACCACCTTTATTATTTCTGCTTCAGAAATCATAGGAGCAGGAGTTGAATGGATTATATCAAAATCGGCCTCATTTACTATACGAGGGGGTTGCCCTTCAATGGTTTCCCTACATATATAATTAAGCATGTCATTACTGAAATACTAGATGAAATCTCTTTAAAATATTGTAACCTTACCTATATACTCTATCAAATGTATATCTTTTCAAATCCGTAATATTGTTACGTGAAACATATCTTGAGAAAGGTACCGTTAAATCATATGGAAGCTATAAATTATTTATATTTATTAATTATAGAGAACTCAGCTTTCGAGTGTTTAAATAAGCAGTTTCTAACCTGTACAATCCCTCCGCCTTTATCAATTAAATAAACTGCTTTTTTGTCGTCTTCATATATATCTGATTTAGGCATCAACAAGGGCGTACTTAATTCCACCGCGCCATGATGACGAAATATTTTAACCATATAATCACGTACTCTTCCAAATGTTAGCGCATACGTTGAACTAAAAGCAACATTTCCCTATAAACAAACTATGGTTAAATTAACTATAAAACAAAATAATTTAAAACTAAAAATATAAAAAAATATACATTACAACATCATAAATAAAATCTTTATGCTTGTCTGATGATTGAGCAAACAGTTCTGAGATTAAAGACAAATAGTGTGGATTGTTTGGATTGGCTAAAATAATGAAGAATTATCATTAAATATTAAGCATATATTTATTACATTCGATAATAATTCAGAATGAGTCGGAAAATCACCTATTGTTCTCATGAACTCTTGCAAATGTTCGTCTTCAATTTTAGCTGGTAACCATTCACATTTTAAAAGATCTATGCTTGTTGGTCGATTTTTAGCATTGTGTTGCAAGCACCAGCGAATGATATTGACTTGTCTGTTCATTTTGTCAAGTGGAAAATCCTTTGGAAAAGTTATATCGGGCCTTCGAAGGTTTAAAATAGTCTAAATATTTATTAAGACGTTAATGAATCAATCATAAAGGGATCTGAGTACTAATATATATTATATAATATATTATATAATTGATTTGCTTACTATTCGACGTTCCATTTCAGTAGAAAATTTGTAGAAAATTTCAAATAAAATTATTCCTATAAAGAAATTCGAAGAACAAAGTTTATAACTTTAATTGACATTCAAAAACAAATATTCATAACTTACCTAATGAATATATATCCACTAAATAAAAATATTGTTAGTATCATCTCCCGCAAATTCAAGTAAATTAACATATCTTGAATATTCAATTATTTCGTTACCTTTTTGATTATAACGGGTTCCTACTACAGGATTAGTAGCAACTTCTGGTGCGCCATAAAGGAGCGTTCCAACATCTAAACAAGAGAAATTGAGTAGAAAATTGAAGTAACAAATAATACGATAGCTCCGCATGAGACTTTTTTCACAAAGTGAAATGAAAAATACCTCCAGTCATGGAATCTTCTCTACTATTCATTCTGTAAAAAGTTGATAATCTGCATGTACCCGGATCAAATAATGCGTCGCTCTCATTTGTAGTTGCTAATCCGAAATCTCCGATCTACAGATTATAGTTTTACATTAATAAATTAACAAATAAATAATTGTATATATTTTCTAAAAGTTATTACCTTCACATCACCCTTTGCGTCCAAGAAAATATTACTTGGTTTTAAATCCCGATGAATCTAGTAAGCAAATAATAAGATCTCACTATTTTTCATATTAATCATCCAACTTTTTATGTTAGTGAGATGTAGAATTACCATGCCCTATATCATATAAATTAAAATAAGTAAATTTATAAAAACAATTAAAATTCATCGGAATTCACTACTTACACTGCGATGAATGTGTACTTTAATAAATCCATGGATATTATTAAAATTATGTAAAAATTATGTAAGAGTTAAGTTATTAAATTTTTAAATTTTTAAATAATTAATTAATTAGCATACCAAGCCCTTCTACTATTTGCCGGAAAATTCTGTAACCAAATGTTTTTTCATAAGTTATTCAAAAATGTATCGCTAGCAATATATAAAAATTAACTAACCTCCAGCCTTCATCTTCTTTTACGCCATTATCAATGATATCTTTCAAAGTTTTATTTTCACAATATTCCATTTGTATATAAAGTATACGACATTTTTCCTCTTTTATAGGTGGTCTTTTGGAAACAGCCTTATTTTTTGCTATACCCCCTTCTCTTGTTATCTCATCTTGCATTATTTCAATTTCAAATTCAGAATCTGAAGAAGAAGAAGAAGATCCTATAAATTTTCTGCTGCTGGATGCATCAGCAGAAAAGAAATCGAAATCGTCATCATCAGGGTAATCTTCCGGATCTAAGGACTCATCAACAGCGCCAGTAATATCTTCGCTAAAAGTCTCTGTCTCATTCAAAGAGCCATCCGAGTCTATTTTAATAAAACGAATGTACGTGGAAAATACATTCAATTTGTTGATATATACATTAAAAAATAATATATATTCTCAAAAAATAAACACTTGCCTTCAAACCAGGTTGTATAATAGCGGACAACATATTGGTGATGTAATCGCGATAATGTCGTTACCTCTCGCAAAATCTTGCGAGTTTTTTCAATGTCATTTGGATTTAGACGCACTTTTTTTATTGCGTAACACCTTTACGACAAAAACAAATTAATCCAAATAGATAATAAATTATTGAAATAATAAATTTCCAAAATTTCTACATACCTGCCATCTAGTTTGTTTTTAGCCTTTACCACCTCTCCATATCCACCTAAATAAAAAAATATTCATTTATTAAGGTAAATGACATATAATTATGCATAGCTGGAAAATACCTTTTCCGAGAAACGCGATTTCCTCAAAATCAAGCTTATATCTAGAAAATTGAGCATGGTGCTGTGAAGAGTTTGGTGGGGAATATGTATGCTGTACCTCACCAAAACTACCAGCTAATTCGTCATTTTCTTGCGGAGCAATGGTTCTAGAAGAATTTACACTTCCTATAAAATAACCAATTAATAATGTTTCTTATAAATGTAAAAAATAATCTTTAAATTTTACTCAACCTGTTGACATGATGAATTTCAAAGGTGTATCCAAAGAACTGGATAATCCTTCACTGAAAAAAGGCTTTGCAAGCAATTCTAACGGTGTTGGCCTTTTTGATTGATCTCTGAATTCGAATAAAATCAAAAAATAAACAACATAATCATATTTAACTAGCTGAAAAATTAAGACTTAAAAAGTACATTACTTTTCAAGCATAGTTCTGAGAACATCTTGAACAGCTAGCGGAATATTATGATCGGCTACAAAATAATAATATTAAGTCATTTAAGATATTTTGAATATTAATGAGTAATGATATGATGGATCTCTTACAAGAATTTAACAAATCATTCAATGAATTATATCTTTGGACAACATTTAACCCGAATAGCATTTGCACAAAAATGACACCAAGATACCAAATATCATTCTTTCTGCAATGTAAAACTTGTATCATTAGTCCTGAAACGAAATAAATATTAATAAAGTAATATTATAAATTACCTCGAATATACATTAGATTTTGATTTTTGTTCGGGTGAAATCCTGATCACGATCGGTTCGAAAGCAAAAAATAAGCAACGATACTTCATAAATTAGAAATTTTATATTATGTCATACCATCTTTTGCACGGCTCTTCGTTTGAAAATTTAACAAATGGGAATTCTTTATGCATATCTAATATTACAAAAAAAAAAAGCTAAGGAATAAGCACTAATAAACAATCAAGACTAAATATATTGTTGCTTTGATACATTACCCAATAATTTTCTGTGATAACTAATATCAGATAGCTTAGCTATATAATCATCCTTCCCAGGAATTTCGGATAACAATATATTGGAAGCTTTTATATCTTTATATGGAAAATATTTACAATGAATTGCAAAGCAATTTAAAATTACTTCTACTTAATATGAAATTATGAGTAGACCGACCTCTATGTACAAAACCGTTAGCGTGTAGATAATCCAGTGCATCTAACAACTGCTTCATATACTCCTTCGCTAATTGTAAGCGAACAACACCACATTTCTTTAATAAATCAACCATCGTGCCTCCACATGTATATTCCATAAGAATGTGCAAATTCCATCCAGATGTGCATCTCTCAAGCTCGGATTCATATATAGTAACCAAGTTCGAATGACGAAGCTTTTTAATACGATCAAGTTCCTTCTCAATTTCTTCTAACTAAAGTAAGCGGCCAATAATTAAAAATTGACATGGTAACACTTATTACTTGTGACAATCTAATGATAAAAGATTTCTCACAATACCTTCTCCTTACCAGCCGGCTCTAAGTAGTGTGGTTCAGAAATTTCAATATCTTTCAAAATTAAAACATGACGGTCCTTTGGGTTTATATTATTAATTTGAACATTAACTGCCTGAACCATATATGTTGAACCAATTATTCCTAATATATTCACATATAATAAATTGGAAATTTTGAGACATAATGAAAGGAAACGATGCTAATAATTATCAATTATGTACCTTTGCCTACTAATGGCCCAAGTATTACAGATCTAAAGGGAACCGACTAAAATAATATGCTAGATTTAATATTTTATTTACTCGGTGTAAATTATAATGTGTATTTATCATAATAAATACCAATGAATCTCCGGGATCCAAAACAATTTTTCTTTCAAAGTTAACAGTTTTAAACACCGAGGATGTATCCATTAGTGATTTTGAGTCTTGAACATCTTTAACTTTCAATTGCTTTTTTTTTTGCTTTTCTTCATCAAATTTTGCCTTTAAACGTTGCTGCTCCTCATGAATTCTTTGAAGTAATAACAAGTTCTCTGCTGTTCGTTCTTGCTCTTCAGTTTGACGTGCACGATCCATTTCTTCCAGTGCTTTTTTTTGTTCAGCCTAACAAAAAAGATTGAGCATGAAAATTTATTTTCATGAGAATATATCTAAAAAAATAATTTATACGACAAACCTTGGTTATTTTTTCATTTCGACTTAACATTTGCTCATGAAAAGACTGCGAATCTTTAACACCTTTGTTATTCGTAGTTATAAATTCTTGAACGTATTGAGCAATAGTAAATATCATCTCTTGACCAAGATTTTCTTTAATAAGCCGAGATATGTTTGCTTTAGCTTCATTCAATTGTTCCTCTGAAAGGCCGCGTGCATTTTCAACTTTTATGTCTGGTGCTGAACGTGGATACGTTTTCGGAAATCTAGTTCAATTATGACAATTAATTTTTGCAAAGTATAAAGGGCGCATACTGATAACTAACGCGACTCACTTAACGTGCAAGTCCACTGATACATGCTCTTTCAGTTCCTCTCCGTGAGGTAAAAGATGAAGTCGAAATTCATGACATGCCGGAGCGACCTAATACGAAAACTTTAAATTTATTCAGCAATAAAATCCAAATCAAGTAATTTTAATAATAGGATCAAACTCCACCTTCCATGCTGAAGTCGTAACCACAGGCACGTAGTCTTCCATATAAATTGCTAAAATAGTATAAAGAAGTAATTTTTTACTATTATGAATTACTTTTTAT